TATATATATATATATATATATATGCATGCACCCCCTTCACACTCAGATAGATGTGGATGTTTCACTGCATATATACGACTTTACGACTTTACTGTAACGTTTGTTCACTATTGTTAGGGTTAGGTTAGGGTTTGTTCACGCTCACTATTGTTAAAAGTAATGTGGCTAAAATGAACGCCTCTGTGATTTCAAAATTGTGTTTTTATGAATTGCCCAGCCCTGGTATTTAAATATGTGTGTATATTTGTTATAATCAGCGTGGTACACGTTTTTTTTTTTTTTTTTTTAGTTTTTTGCTAAAATAAATCCAGCTAGTCCAGCTGAGTAGAGTAGAGAAAAGGTTTGCTGAAGCTGCAGAGAACAGACATAGCTTTGGTTTGGACTAGTAGCCACTGGATAAGATTATAGTATAGTATTGGTTTTATGCTGTGGTAGATAACGGGTAGGGCGGAGGCATCCCTCTGCAGTAATTTCAGGTTACAGAAAACCCATATACAAATGCTTGGGAGGTGGAAAGCTCTTATGTCCAGTTGGCCCCGTGTACCAGCCTAAATCAGCAGCTCAGCTCATCGTGTTGTGTCATGTTCAGTTTTTGCTTGCAATAACACACTCAGCACAACACAAGCATCCCTTGAGGGAAGTTGACAGATATAGAATGCCACAGAGAGAAATGTGTGAACACCCCCTACGTGTTAACAGCCGTGTACTACCTTCAAAGTCGCAACTATGGACACTTCTTGAGGCAATCGCTTACACTCGTAATAGCAAACACTTTGCAGTAGAAATGTACATTTGAAATAGTTTTCTTTTAACTCCTAATTAGAAATTTCTCTATAAGGATTTCCAATACTTGTTACACAGCCAAGTAAAGTTTTGGATGATTCCGGCCTCGTCCAGAATTACTCATGTGGTCATTTAATGTCCTTAAACTTGAGTTTCGAATAAAAGCATCTCCATTTACAAATCCAACATTATTTATAATAGGGGACAAACCTCAAAAAGATTGCAGCTTTGTTGCAATCTTTATTTTTATTTATTTTTTGGATATAGTATGATTTAGATAATACAATTTGTTTGTGAAATGGCCAACTTGGTCTCCTTTTCACTTAATCAAGGTATCGGCATCAATGATTGTTTTGGTTACCATGACATGATACTGGCACTGACTGGAAAAAGATCTGTATGTTTGAGTGAAAAATGACCTTATCATTGCTTTGCATGTATGAGATGATAAGAAGGGGTCTTTTTCATATGAGGTAGAGACTTCTATAATTAATTTCCATTCATTTGTCTCTCTTGCTTCCAGTCGGTGGTGAAAACCGGCCGTTTGCTCATCAGTCACGAAGCACCGGTTACAGGAGGGTTTGCTGCTGAAATCAGCTCTACTGTACAGGTGAGTGCTGCTGTCTAGAAGTGTGATGGTGTGCTTGTGTTTGGAAAAGGAAATTTTATTGGCATCTTAAGCTCCCAGGGGTGAAAGGTGGCCTTCAAAGGGTTTCTGGTCTTGGTAATTGGCTGAGGTTTTACCCATAAAAGTCCAACTTCCTAATAAAATTCAAATAGCCTTTCAGTGTGTACCACAGAGCTTTGATTTTCAGATTGTAATATGTACCCTCCTGCAGCTGGAGATGAAAAATAGAGGCAGTATGACTACCTATAGAGATAAGAACAGTAAAAAAAAAAGTATTTCTAATTTAAATGAACTATTGAAAGTTTAAGCTCATAGTCGTAAAAGAAACAGAGGTCTGAAAGGATTTTACTTACTTGAAAAAAAAATTTATGCAACCTAAACAAGCCTTATTTCGGTGGGAATGTTGTTTAATTTGTAACGGATTGTTTTAATCCTCAATCTGAAACCCCTCTGTGTAACTTGCCCTCCATCCCATAAAGTTTGAAGAGGATTTAGATTTTGAACTTGTCAGATGATGTCAGGGACTAGAGCTTTTTTCACTTTTCAAGCTCCCTGATTTGGTGCTCCCTCACCAACCCCACAGAGGCAAATGTGAGGCCTTTAAATGTTGTTATTCTTCACGTCCTCCTCTCACAGATGCTGTGTGATCTTATGCTTACAGGACTGCTTTAAGGGATAGGTTTGGAATAAGGATCCAAACCTCCCTGAGAATCTCCAGCTGTGCCCAGGTCTCCCTCTGGATTTTTGTCCTATAACATCTTGATTTCATTTTTAAAAGAAATCAAAACTTTCTGTTTCACTACTTCCAACCTCTGAGGCAATGGTACATTACATGAGCCGCCTCTCTGCTAGCGTAATAATCTTTCCACGTACAAAGACCTAACATTTTTTGTATGAATGTTGAAATGTAGCATTTGATTTCCAGTAACTGTGAATGTAGCAGGATTTGATCTCCAAGGTGACGGCGTTCCAATTTCCTGCTTGTCGATGCTCAAATTCCTAATTCCTAAAAACACTGTTCTGTGTTGGATTTTGAAGACAATAACAGAGTTGAAATGCAAATCCTTGCCGACAAACACTAAAAGTAGTAGATGTAAGACTGACTATCACGTATGTTGCCAAGGAACAAAAATCCAATCCTACATGAAGTTAATCCCATTAAATCAGACATTGGGTTTACCAAGACTGAGTTCACTTTCTCTTCCACACCTGCCTCACTAAAGGAAGTACACCAAAAGATCCTTAAAAGCTACACATCATGCTAAGATCCAAAGATATTCAGAAACAAGTGAGAAAGCTGGTAATTCAGATCAATTAAAATGGGAAGGGTTACGAGGCTATTTCAGAGTCGAGCTACTTTTACACTGCGGGCGATTGCAGCTGCAGAAGCATCTGGTTTACATGCAAAGTCAAAGGTTGATGCGCATGAAAAGGTCCTGCAGCGCATCTCGGGCAGCAGGAGCAGCGCATCTTGATGCATCAGAGCAGCTGAAGCATGTGATGCGCTTCATAGGCAGCAGATGCTGCTAACATCTACTTCCAGCCGCAACGAACAGTAGAGGAAGAGAAAACTCCAGGAGGCGATGGGGCCTGAGGCAGCTGCTGCTCGGGATTCCCAGTGACAGAGCACCGCCGCATGTGAGGCTCTGAGCGGCTCCAACAGTGAAATTATATTTGAAGGCAGATTGTAATCTTGATGAACTGACTGGTCAGACGATGTTTTGAGGTGGATTTTCTTGTATTAAAGTAAATTAAAACTATATTTAAGCAAATATAGCAAAGCCGCTCTCTGGCATTGAACACAAAAGCAGCAGAAGCATCAGAGGAATTTGGACACTTTACTGGATACGCCTCAGGAGCCTCAAAGGTGCTCATGAGGCACGTCTGGCTTTAATATAGAAAAGCATCAAAAATGAAGTCGCAAAAGCTTTTTTGCTGCTGTAATCGTGTGCGGTGTGAACGTACATCTTTAAAGTCGCAGGGAAGTCATATTTAAATGTCAAATCATTCTGGGTTAAACATGTATGACTATATTGTCCCCTGTTTTAAAATTTGTATTGTTTTTTTTTTAGTTATCTTATGCAGGCCAGTTAGTTATACGTCAGCCTGAACACCTAAATTCAGCCTATTATATATCAACGGTCATCTGTCAATCAATTTTTTTTGGTCATAGCATCTTGATTCATGTCGCAGCTAATATACACAACGTTTGAAATAAGAAATTAGAATAATTTATTCTTTATTACTTTCCCATTGAGTTCCGTCCCAGTGTTCACAGGGATGGACGTCTGTGTCCTCAGCAGGCCGTAGAGCTAACAGAACTGGCAGCGTTGCGATGCAAGGGCTCAAACATGTACAGCTGTAAGCCTTCTACACCAAACCAAGCTTCTGCTGCCCTGGTGTCCTTTTTCACAATAACTTCGTCCTCACTTTCCTCCTTCTAAATAAAAGATGTAAGACAGAGGAGACTCATCCACGACCTTCGACACTTGCATGCAACTCTCCTCCTCTTGCATGTTTCCGCTGTCCATAGCGTTCCTTGACAGTGTCGTTTCTAAGTGACCAATTTAGTGCTACTTGGTCCCAATGGAATTTCCCTTATACCCCATTTACACTACCCTTGAAAAACCGTGCCGAGACCGGTCCGAGCTCAGTAACTGAGATAACTTATCGTGTGTAAATGAAAAGCAAACTAAACTGAACCGAGCTAGACACAACCAGACCGCCCTAACTGCAGACCAGTTCCAGAGGTCTAGTCAGCTCGGTTTTTCCCTGGCTCGGTTCTCTGCTCTCAAGAGCGCATGAGCAGAACGCGTCATCTCCGTCTGGCTGCACATCGTGATTCACACTCCATTCCAGTTGTTGGCGGAAATGCCCCTCCGGAAGTTGCTTGCCAACCAACACAAAACAGAAGAAGAACAACAACTATAAACAACAATAGAAATCTTCTCAAAATCCTCTTCTTCTTTTGTTTTATGGCAGTTGGCAAACAGCTTTTGGGGCATTACCGCCACCAACTGCTTGATTTCCTCCTTCAATACTGGCAGTAATACTGCAGATCGTCACTAGGAGGCGAGGAGTCAAGGAACCAAGATAGCGTGATGTGTAAACGGTCGTCAGAACCGAGCCTGGTTAACTGATCCGAGCTCGGACCGGTCTCGGCATGGATCGGTTTTTCATGGGTTGGGTAAATGGGGTAATTGGGAACCTACTAACTGGTTAGCTAGATGCTTCCGAGAAACCGGCAACAATCAAACTTTCTTGCGAATCTTCCGCCACAACAATCCCGCCCCCTTGATAAAAGACCAATCACATTCACTTTATTCACTCGTGTAAAGTCGTGCACCACTCGGGGAAAAATGGTTGGAACAGCCGTGTCCCTACGGCTTTAAGTAGAGGAGCGTTCAGGAGCAAATTAACAAACAAATTCACCTCCTGCCGCAATACAGCAGCTCCTGCTACTGGATACTGGACAGGTAGAATCACCACTGGATGCAAACCTCAAGCTGCAGCTCCAGGCCTCTAGTGGTACTGGGTGAATTGTGGTGGAAACACTGCTGATGATGGGAGTGCATGTGGTGCAGCAGTTAGTGCGCACAACCCATGTACGGAGGCCTTAGTCCTCGATGCAGCTGATACGGGTTTGAATCCGGCCTGTGATCCTTTCCCGCATGTTTCTCTTATACACCCTTTCCTGTCAGCCTGCTGTCGAAAAATCGAGCCGCTAGTGCCGCAAAAACTAAAAAAAACCAAAAAACAAAAAATCCCACTGCTAATGATTTTCATGTTACATCGGTGCCGTAACTGTATATAAAAATGAAAAAAACTCTAGGTCAGCCAGGGTCAGTTGAACAGGCAACAGGAATCAGCAAACAGATAGATGCTCCCCCTGTTTGATGGTGTGGTGACTGTGCTGTCTAAAAAAAATTATTATTTGCAAAAAAGTTGTAATATTGTGGCAAACTTAGACATTTTTTAACACTGTTTGAAATGATACATTCTTTTTTTTATTTGTCTCTTGGTCCTGTGTTTCCTTCTTTATATTTGGATGGTTTACTATTAAAAGATTTTCTTAAATACTTGTATTTCTTCTGTGGTCTGAAGTTTTAGTTTCGGAGTTTATAACCCCGAATCCTCCATAACCACAGTCCTAGTGCAAAGTCTGGCTTTTTAAAATCACTACCTGTCTCTAATCCTTGCACTTTCAATCAACACCCTCTGGCCAGTCCTTAACTGAGGGAACAGGGCATGTTGCTTCTAGCATGAACCACAAGTTATGCACAGAGCTACTGATAAATTCTTTGTATTCTTGTTCTATTTGTAGGGTTATTTTGTTAGATAATGTTTTATGACCCAAAAGGACGAGGAGTGTTTGGATAAATTTGGCATAGTTGTTAATAACGCCTATTACATTTAACTCTGAGTATTTAGAACTAAGTTTGATTCACAGGCTTCTGTCTGTCCTTATCAACTATATCCACACAGGTGAAGATTTTATAAATATATATATATATATAAATATATATATATATATATATATATATATATAAACAGTTTATTCTTGTTATTTAAGGTAAATGCTTAAGTTTATGTGTAAAAGAGAAAATTTAATTAAGCTCAGAAAAACTTTCTGATATAAAATAGAACTTTTCTTTCCAATGCTGTTTTTGTAACCTAATAAAAGACACCAGATCATTAATCTAAGCTTAGAAACCTGTGCATTCATAACCTTATTAAATAGAGGAAGGAATAAAGAAGCCAAGTAAGTCATTAAAAATATAAATATAAGTCTAGGTCTATAATTGTGTTTTGTTGAAAACCAGTTGCGATCACACAAGGTGTCTTTGTTTTCCCTCTTAATTGCCTACAGCTGTCAGCTTTCACTAAAACCATCCCAAATCGGTTAAGGAAACCAACCTATAGATTCTGTCCAAAACTCAATGAAGAAATTTTCTAGTTAAAGAAGTTGTATTTTACATCAG